ACTTTTGTTTGTTTGTGGGGGGGGGGGGGGGGGTGGGGGGGGGGTTTAATTTTTTGAGTTGAGGAATGAGTCCCTAACTAAGGAATATGGATTGTGGGCAATTTGTAGGTTAGACCAGAATGGATGATCACTTGCAGTACTTTCTATGATATTTGCACTTAGTTTAGATAGGAACATTGACCAAGAGTAGATTCCTGCTTGGAATTTGAGAAGCAAATTTTAGGAAGAGTTGATCCTTAAGATGGAAGCTGTTGCACATCACGTCAGTGTCCACCAATAATATGGAAGGAAGGCCGTTTCATTGCATCGACCAATAATTTCGAAGGAGTGCTGAATTTGTTCCTTTTTCATGTGAATGGCTGGATTTGTGGTTGGGCGCTGCTGAAATCTATCCAAATGAAACTAAATTTCCCTTGGACTGGGAAAATAGACAAATTATATGCTGTTTGTGTCTAATATATAGGAAAACAAATTAGTGGTAGGCAATTCACGTGGTCAAAGATGTCATCATTGGCTCTGTTCGGACATTTGTTTAAACCATTCATTATAGTCTGTAGTCATCTTGTGAAGTGTGGACTTGTTCGTGTGAAACTCCGCAAGCGTATGAGATCGTTGTACAAGTAATAATTGTGATAAGAGAGTTATCGTTCCCACAAGGAATAATGTCTAATATCTTAGCTTTTATTAAATTCGAAGTAATCTAAAATAAAAAATGTTGGTTCGTATGTTTTCTATACTAATCCTAAACTAACAAATCAAATAAACTATTTATCTTATATGTGAATATTTGTATTGGAATCGTGAATCTCCCAATTGTCATTTAATTCAATTCTTAATTCATAATTTAGTAAATTCATGTATTCAAGACACCGATAATCCACTTTTATTCAATATTCTTTCCAAGATGTATTAAATCTTTGTTTAACACGGCCCGATCCTATTTCTAGTCCGAATTCGTATGAAAACATGCATTGATTCACAAGATTTATCGCACATGATTGCACATGCTATAGATATTATTTCTAATACATATTGTCCATGTGTTGATTTTACCGCATTTTAGACTTCTTGTAAGTATTCCTACACTACAACATTCAACTTACTATCTAATTGATGATCAAGCCATTAAATAGTTCAATGAGAATGCAAAACCAATCAAGAAAAATCATAAAATACTAAATTAAGTGTCTTGAATTAAAATAAACAAACAATATGGTTTATCATTCATCTAATAAAATGAAAAACTTAGCCAACCATTCTAATTATTAAATTATACATTAAATAATAAAAAGACATCACCCATATCGAAAAAATATGGAACAAAATAGAGAAATCCACTTTCTTGAATGAAATCTTGATTTTGGATGGATAATCTTCAAGAATCTAGCATCCCTTGATGTTGATGATGTAGCCTCGTTCTTCACCTCCAAAATATGTTGAATCTATGAATTTTTAAGTCTAAGGGAGGTTCTTCAATGATGTGGGCGTACTCTCCTATTTGTATGATGCCAAAGAGACTTATTACCAAAATAAAATAAGTTAACCTAAATTCTTCCGCGTTTAACATTGAGGCGCCTGCCTAGTGTAATCTAGGGCGCGCACTTGGGAGCCTTGGGGTGCCTCAATAGCCTCCTTTTTGGTTGGGGAGCATGTGCCTCTCTTGCAGGCGAGGGCGCGCCTTGACTAAGTTCCAGCCGAACAGTTTTTAGTTATTTTGTCATAACTTTCTCTTCCAATATCCGATTTGGGTGATTGAAAGTGCATTGGAAAGCTTACTCAGAGGGTTACAATCCTTCTTGAAATATCAATTTTTCAATTCGAAAGTTTGCTATGCCAAAATTGGGTCTCAATATGAGATTAAAAGTCTGAAGTATAACATTTTCAGTTGAAAGTTGATGTATAATAATATTTTGACTATAATTTATCCCTTTGACTTCTTTTCTCTTCTAATTGACCCCGAGCACTCTCAAATCTTCATCGTGAGGTCCGAAACAACTTTTGAGTATTTGCATTTTAATCCGAAACTTTGGATTTGCTTCATTTTACCCCATTTTCCATTCGTTCTTCCAGTTCTTCTTCGAAACATGAATTTTTCGTAATAAAAGCAATAAATAACAAATTTGGTACTAATCTGTCTAAAGAATAACAAAATATCATCATTTAGGATCCGAAAGAAGTGTAGAAACTACACTTATTAGTGGACAAGAGATGATGTCTAAAGTGTCTTAGGGAAATCCAATTGTTGTCTACATATTCAGGAACAGTATTAGATACAGGATCCAGACAAATAATTTTGCGTCTGATTTTGGATGAGACTAATTCAATCAGTAGCATTTTTTATTTTTATTTTTATTTTTATTTTTATTTAAATTAACATCTGTTACATTCACCGATACCTATTTTGATGGCTAAGAATTAATGTTACTTACCATTAATATCTTGAGATCTTGATATCCTTGTACAGAAGGGAAAATAAAATTTATGCTTTTCTTGAATGTTGTTACTACCAATGGTTAAATCTGGCTCATATGAAGGCTACAGGCTCATCAACTTCATGGAATTCAGTTACAATTCTACATTCCAGATTAGTGTTGCAGATTCACTAGTTAAGTTTTGACGTTCTATGCTTTTCACTTTAGGCGATGGATATTAGAAAGAAAGTTAGAATCGTCCGACTTTCCCAAAGAAGAACAGATAAATCTCATCAAGGATTTAGAGCGAAAAGAGACAGAATTTATGCGATTGAGAAGGAACAAGATATGTGTAGAGGATTTTGATCTTTTAACCATAATTGGGCGAGGAGCTTATGGTGAGGTTGGTGATTTGCATGCACTTCTCTCTTTAGCCTTTATAATTTTTATTTTCTCCAAGTTATCTTGCCATCTTATTGCGATTTTTCGTGTATGAATTGCATTGGTAAGATGAAGACTCTACTAGATCTCAGTATTTCCTTAAGTGAACGTTTGTCCCAAACAGGGCGGGCCTAGAACTTGACTTCAGCGTGGGCTATAATTTAGCGTTGGACTAGACATGGATATAAAGAGTGGGCTAAATATTTTTTGGGCCTATTTGAAGTAAAAACAAAGTTGGAGCCAATTTTTAGTGAAATGGAAAGGGAAAAGAATTATCTTCCCAACTCCACACTGGGCTACAGCCCAATAATTTAAAGGCATACTCGAAAAAGTTTCTGAAGTATGATTATATGACTTCTTTCCATCAGTTGATTATCAAGAGTGCTTAATTTGTGTCATTCATTTGTGCATGCATCTTATCCCTGATATTTCACTTTGCTAGGTACTAGACATTATTTTTAGCTTTTGTTCAGTAAAACATAAGCATGATATATGACTTTTTTCTATCAATTGATTATCAAGATTGCTTTATTTTTCTTATTTTAAATCATTTGCACATGCATCTTATCCCTGATATTATCTTTGCTAGGTACTTGATATTCTTTTGGCTTTTCTTTAGTAAACGTAAGAAAAATAAATATATTTTTCAATCCATACACCGATTTATTGTCCTCTTTGCTTCTCATAAATTTCAAATCATCAGGTTCGATTATGCCGGGAGAAAAAATCTGGCAATATTTATGCCATGAAGAAGTTGAAGAAATCTGAAATGCTTTCAAGAGGACAGGTTAGTAATAAATAGGAGCTTTCTTATTAGTCAAACAACTTTCTTTGACCCGGTAGCTGGTGCATTGGTCCTTCAGTATTTACTTCACTTAACATGCTCAGTCTCTTAATTGGTGGCTGCTTGTTTTGTGGCATGCAATATTTTTATCATACTGCAGTGTGGAAAATATCAATTGATGTTAGTGGATTCTAATGTATCAAGAATCCTAATGCATCAACATCAATAGATCTCCTGGGGGGGGGGGGGGGGGGGGGGAGAACCTAACTTGTGATGGCAGCCCAAACCTTTCATAAATAAATATTTTTTCATAAATAAATATTTTATTATGAAGGCATTGAAAATGAGGATCTGATTAAGTGCAAAGATTCAATATGGAGATTGAATCTAGCTACCTGAAACTCAGGAAAAAAAAAAGAAAAAGAATAGAGCCTAAGCCTATCCTAAATACCATATGTCACAAAAAGGAAAAGAAAATACAAAAACTCCTCTACTTTTGTCTTAAGATGTAACGCCCCGAATTCTTATAACACAATGCATTACCAAATATGAGTCTTTAACATAAACCTTCAAACATGCGAGATTAAGAAATGTTTTTTAAATTTAAATTAATTAATAAATATTGTAAAGTCTTGACCATTTTAAACATATGGACTTGAGAAGAATATAGAACAAAATGATTTGGAATGAGTTTTAAAGAAATCGACAAGTTGAAAATAGTTTTTCTCCGATTGTGTTGTGAGTTGCAAAATTGATTTGACCTAGCAAATCTCGACTAAAAATTATGAAAATTTATCAGCGAGTATAAAACTCGTATAACATATAAAAATTTGGGCTTTGAACAACGAGGTTTGAGGCCCCCAAATATTTTTCAAACAGGCTAAACTATATCCCTGAATTTGATCTGTCATAGTTTACTAAAAAAAATGCTACAATAAATTCCACGGGACTCCGATCAACTTGTTTTCAATTGCATATGATAGATAACTCATAAGGGATCATTTTCCAATTAAAAACATGCTGAAATTCCAAAAACATATATTGTAGTAAATTTTGAAAGACAAGTACAGAATGCTGAAAATTTATAAAAACATTCCTAAACGTTAAAATTTACTGTCTCAAAATATAAACTTAAACTACAAATCTTTGGACACCTCAATGGTTATTAAACGTAAAAAGCGACAATCTAAATCATAAGAAATCAATTTCTTTAAAATAAAATATGCCATTCATGTCGAGACACTAAGGATCTTTGATTACTCTGAAAATATTAGATAGGAATGAGCATATCAAAGAAATATTTAATAGGCTACACATGCTGTATGAACATAATAATCATTCATCGAATCATGTATTCTTACATATTGCCTTCATAAATAAGTAAACCGATGCTCAAAAGATTCTAAAGATTCTACTTAAAGTTTTGATGAGCTTTTGTGACCATCAATTAAACATATAATTGGAACTTTACATACTTCATGAGCAAACATAAAGAATAACATGGTGAATGACAATTAAATTCATATAACGATCAACTTAGTGCAAGGATCCTACCTTAGTTCTAAATGATACAGTAATGACTACGTCAAATGGTATTCCTTTCAAATCTTAGAGGTGAAAATGGCTCTGCTTTTCTTTATAAATAATCTGATGAGGTATATCAAAAATGGCGTGAAAATGAGAGGCTATTGCATAATCTCCTATGAAAAAATGAAAACTAGTCTTGCCAGATTAGATGCCCCAAGTGATTTGGTCTCCCATAAATGTTTATCAATCCCAACAATGTAATTTAGTTTTTACCTTAATAGTAGTGCAAGCCTCTTAACTATGTATTAAATAAATTTTTTATTTTTTATTTTTCCTAGTCAAGATATGGAACTATTACACAAAATTTAAGCTCCAAATTGGTCAAATGGGGTTACATAGAATTCAAATGAAAAACTAATAAACTAATCCTAATTATCTTAAATTCAAATCTAGATATCAAATTCAATTTGTCTAGTGGCACATGTGGTTGCTAGACTTGTTAAGATGCTTAATTAACATTAGTTAAATATAGATTTCTTTGAGCTACAAAAACATTAGCCTAATTTATCCGAAATAACTTTTTCTCGAGTTTAAAATTCACCATTGAATATAAGCTTCGAAATAAGTCCAATATTGATAGGAAATTCTAGCTAAATGAATAGTTGATTATTTGACCGAATAAAAATAATGATGTCAACAGTTATTTTCATATCAGTCTCTCAACATCTCTAAAATAAGAAAAAGTATCAAAATGGAATAAACGAAATTTTATTTTTGGACGCTACATAAGAGATTCATTCTAGGAGACAAAAACAATGACAAAATTTAACTCTATTCAAAATTGTGCATTTCCAAGCGATTCCCCTTCCTTTGCATGACCTTTTGTGAATGACCTAAAAATTAATGGCAAAGGCAAGAGTTCAAATAATGAATCCCTATTACTTCTTTCCGCTTCCGTGTCTCCTTTATCTTCTCTAAATGTTTTTCGTTTTTGCTCTTTAGATGATTAAAAAACACAGTGATGCAAAATGGAAAGTATATTATAAATGTAAATGAAATCAAATCAATTAGTATAGAATTTTCCATTATTGTGTTTTATTGACTTTAGTAAGATAGTTGAGTTTGTCTCCTTTTCAAAAAAAGATCCCAGTTTTCCTTACTAGTTGCAATTTTCCTTTTTAGATATAATTTAGAACCTATACCAAGGGCTTCTTGATTATAATAAAGTGCGCTTGATTATTGAATAAAATACAATCTTCTTTCTTTCTCTTAATTGTTCTTTTGCTCATTACATCTCATCAATTAAGGAATACCTATCGGAGGTGATCTAAATGTGCCTCTTGGGACTGACTATAGATTAAGATGTCATAGAAATAGACCATAAGAAACTTTTCAATAAAAGGTCGCAAGACATTGCTCATAACCTGCATGAAAGTACTCGGTGCAATAGACATCCCAAAAGGCATGACCAACCATTTGTATAAACCATCTTGAGTCTTAAATGCCTTTTTTATTCATTCCCTGGTCTAATTCTAATTTGATGATAGCCACTCCGTAGATCAATTTTGGAGACTTGCAAAAATCCTGCCAACTCATTTAACATATCCTCAAGGCATAGGATAGAAAATCGATATTAAACAGTGATTTTGTTGATGGCGTGACTATCAACACACATGTACCAAGAGCCAATATTATTAGGGGTTAGTAAGATCAAAACCACACCAGGGCTAAGGTTAGGACAAACTAAACCTTTATTTAATAAAGCCTTAATTTGCCTATAGATTTCAGCTCGCTCAGTGGGGTTTATCCTATAGTGGGAGTAATTTAGTAATTAGGAATCAGTGAAGAGATCGATAGCATATTGATTATCTTGCATGGGGGGAGCTCATAAGGTAGGGTGGTAAGAGTAATACCACTTAACTCATTTTGTAGAGGAGCAATCTTGGGTAGAAAGTCGATGTGTGAATAAGAGGAATGTGAACAAGCTTTGCCAACCAAGGCCAACATGAGCCGAGTGTTGTGAATCAGGCAAGCAAGTGCAGAGAGAAGGAAGGCATCAAACGAAAATTGTCTTCGATCGGGGACAAACCCCACGGTGGGTGGCAGCAAAATGAACGACAATAAAGAATATGAACAGCAGCAATGGACAAGTTGCAAAGGAGGGTGATGTGAGGAAGCAGACGGCGAGGCGATAAGAAAAGAGGAAAATATGTGACACTTAATAAATATCATAGGTATGCAGGCGTACAGTCACACAGGAGTAGTACAGCAGCAGCAAGGGAAGAAGGTGGTGGTTTTTGGTTGGTGGAGTTGAATGTCAGTGGCAGAAATGGGGGAAGGGTTGTGGGAGAGATGGATTGTGTGTGGGTTTTTGGTTGTGAGCTCTTTGGGCTTATCTGTAATTGGGCCTTTTAGTGGATGAAGGTTTGATGTTTGTGGATATGTAACAGTTGATATATGTGGGTGTAAGGTTTACGTATAGTGTGGATTATATATAGTGGGCTGAGATTTGAGAACAACAGCAACAAGTTTATGATGGCTCTGCAATTGAAATTTTCAAACTCCATTTTTTTTTTTTAAATTTGACAATGAACAAATAGAACGCAGAATTTAAATCTCTGAATTTGTCTTTTGCTGCCCTGTTGAATTTTTTTATTTTTTTATTGTTTCTGCTTTTTAATTGTTGAAAGGAAAATAAAGATTGGTGGCTATGGCAGTTAGGTTGAATGACTTTAATGGAGGTGGGCTGTTATATGGGTTCAGTTTTCTTTTGGGAAGATTGGGTGGTGCCTGCTGTAATACTTCATGTGAGTAACAGTACGGCCAAAGGAGAGCGTCAAGCTTTGATACCAAATTAATGATAAGTGTAACGAACAAAAGAAAAATTAAGAGAAAGAAAGGAGAAGGAAGAGAAATGAGAGGGAGATTTTATTTTATTCAATAATCAAGTGTGCTTTGTTACAATTAAGGAGCCTCTTTTTATAGGTTCTAAATTACATCGAAAATGGAAAATTACAATTAATAAGGAAAACCAGGATTTCCTTTTAAAAAGGAGACAAGCTCAACTATCTTACCAAAGTCAATAAAACACAATAATGGAAAATTCTATTCTAATTGATTTGATTTGGTTTATGCCTAGAATATACCTTTCATTTTGCATCACAGTTTGTTTGAAGAGAAGAAATATAGATTGCTGATCTACGAGTTCAGACTTGCAGCATGGAAGCCTCTATAGTTTAGAAGGCATAGATTTGCTTGCTTCAGGCTTTATATACTTGATGTTAGTAGTAAAAGGTTGAACAGAAGTGAGTTAATATTTTAACCAGCTCTAGACAGAAGCAATTTATTCCACTGATATAGACTAAATATACGGAACTGCTTAATATCAAAATAGTTCTGATACTGAGTCAAGGTGAGGCTAAAAGGTGAATGGTATGACATGTTCCTTTGCCAAAGCTCCTTTGAAACATCACCACATTTGTTTGTAAGGGTGATTAGTTAATTTTTTGTTTTTACATTTTTTAAAAGAATCAATTGACAGAAGCATATTGAAGGCATGCTTGGCTAAGCTTAAAAAGGGTAAAAGTTACTCTCAAACATGTAAAGTAAATTAATTTTTTATAGTTCTGAAGTTATAAAATAAGTACATTTTTGAAAAGTAACTCCTACCCTAGCATTAAAATGAGTAATTTATTTCCAAATTCATCAAAAAAATCTTATTATGTTGTAACTTGCTTATTTACTTCAAAAGAACATTTTAATCATAGCTGAACATGCTCTAACTCTATTCCATTCTATAGGTTAATGTCTCCATTCCTCCAAGCATACCTTCTTTCTCTTCCTACAAATTGTTCACAAATCCTTGTCTCATTCTAGAGCTTCATCTCCAACACCACAATCATCAGCCAATTTATTGTCTCCAAAGATATCTCAAAAGGAATACGACTCCTCAAGTATACATTTATATTGCATGATTATTAGTTATGAACTGCGGATGTTTTAGCTGGTTCTTTATAATTGGCTTTATCTTATTTTAAGGTTTCAATACTTGGAATAGTTAAAAAGGTTATATTGTAAGAAAGTCAAGGTTATCCATTTATTATGAATTTCTTTTTAGGCAAGTGTTTGGAATAGTTAATAAGTAACTCTTGTAAGTAAGTCACAGTTATGAGTTATCCATTTACTATATGAAAGTCTTTCAGAAAGTGCGCACGCCTGTTGTTTGTTTGTGTAACTATGTGCCTATCTTGGCAGGTGGAGCATGTTAGGGCTGAGAGAAACTTACTGGCAGAAGTGGCCAGCCACTTCATAGTAAAATTATATTACTCTTTTCAAGATGCTGAATATTTGTATCTTATTATGGAGTATCTCCCTGGTGGCGACATGATGACTCTGCTTATGAGAGAAGACACTCTGTCTGAAAGTGTGGCTAAATTTTACATTGCTCAAAGTGTCCTGGCCATTGAATCCATTCACAAGTATAATTACATTCACAGGTGAGTCTGCAGCTCTCTCTGCATTTAACAAAGTATTGTATGTTATAACTAAATCACTGGTGAATTAAGTCATACTAAAGAAGTTGTATTGTTCAACTTTTTTTACTTTATGCCTCCTCAGGGACATAAAACCTGATAACCTGCTTCTTGATAAAAGTGGTCACATGAAGCTCTCAGACTTTGGTCTTTGCAAGCCTCTTGATTGCCGAATTCTCTCTACCTTGAATGAGAATGAGGCCATGGATGATGAGAATATAAGGCAACCAATGGATATTGATGGTCGTATTGCAGATGCTGCTAATGTTAGTAATTGGAGAAGTCCTCGTGAACAACTTCAACACTGGCGGATGAATCGGAGAAAGTTGGTAAGTATTAATCAAATTCAGAATCTTTCTTCTCTTATCCCCCCACCCAGGGGAAAACCCTCTGCTGGCTTTGAGTCATGTTTGGAGGCATGTGAGATAATGCTTTAAGTAAAAGGAAAACTCTGTAATAGGAAAATATGGAGTCAGGCTTATAAGATGTCTGTTTATACATTTGCACCAAATGTGAGGCTGTTTTTGTAACACCCCAAATTTTGATAAACATTGAAGTGTCACCAAGACTAACTTTTGTTTGTTTTAAATACGGAACTATAAAAATAATTTCTTTTAAAATAAAAATACTGAAAATCCAAAACCTTAAGTTAAACATGAAATAAACATGAACAACTAAATAATTTAGAAGCATGTGTGTGAATAAATTTAAGCCAACTAAGAATTTAAAGACATAAAACTTAAGGTATAATTTTTCCTTTTCTTTGATCCACTTGGTAACCCACATTACCATCCTGCAACAAATCCAATTGAATCGAACTAACCTGTAAAATTTTAATAAGAATGAGTATTTAAAAATACCCAGCAAGATACATGCAGTTTTCATACACAATTATACAACAATAAATAAACACTTCGTACAACTCTTCTCTTATAGAGTATATCGATGACCAAGTGACACACTCATATTAGGTCCTATTAAATTCTCGTAGGATTTCATCTCTATCTAAAGAACCTGAAGGTCCATTGACAATTCATGCATATTTAATTGAATATAAAAGTATACAGAAACAATCACTTGCACAAAAGTATCTTACCTCGCCAAATAAAATGAATTTTTGAAAGGATTCCAATATCTTTTTCCACTTTGTCGACTGCATCAATAAATTGACTTTTTCAAAATTACTCTCTCTCTACTATCTATCGTGTAAAATTTCTTGGTGGAGAATTATGGGACAATTGCCATGTAAAATTTCTTGGTGGACAGTTGCACACTATTTATAGTAAAAAAATAATAGTTGAGTCGTAGTACAATTGTGATGGAAAAACGTGTACCAAACTTGGATAGGAAATGCATTTTGATAAAACAAATCATACTATGACACGAGTACTTGGATTGATATAAAACATATAATTAATACCTATCTCACCAAAAGTAGACTCACTAACAACTACAAAGATAGAATTTGGATAAGGATTACTTTTAAATAATGGAATTAGAATTAATATAAAAATATGACTAATATTTATATTACACGTTCCCAATAAGAGAGAATTGATTTGGGTTATAAACTATGTAAAATTCTATTTATCCTGTCATCTTTCAATTGGGTCTAATTTACTGCGTTATTATCCAAAATAATTTTTTCTCTAATCGAAATTTCTAATTAATTAAGACCTACAAAAAGAGTCCAATATTGATATACTTATCTTTGTTCTATCAAAATCTAATTATTTGACCAAATAAAAATATAAGAATTTAAAAATAACTATTTCACTTTAGTCTCTCGACTATTAAAATGATAAAAATTAAAACCACCTAGAGTAAAATGATTATATTATAATTTATTTTATTTATTTATTATTTTGGGGGGGGGGGGGGGGGGGGATT